GAATGTTTATGAGAGAAGTGGAATCTATGGGAATTGGAATCTGTCAGGAATTGGAATCCAATTTCATATTCTGTTTGCTTGGCAGGAAATGGAATTGGAATCCAATTCCATATTCTGTTTGATTCGCAGACATGTCAAATGAATTTGATTTTAGTAATGTAAAATGACAGAATTGTGTTATGTTAGTTTGTTTTACAACTTACATTTAGTAATATATTATAAAAAATTAAAAAATATTAAATTTTCATTTTATTGATTGATTATTCATTTCAATAAATTATAAAAATCATGCTAATAAACATCATAATTTAAAATCATCGCAATCAAAATATGTTAATAAGTTACCTATTTCGATACATTCTAATCGGAGTATGTTAATTAGTTACAAAAAATATACCAAAAACTATTTTTATTCAATATATGAATTAGAAACCCGACTCGACACAAATAAAAATAAAAAAATCTTATTTATATATTAATATATAATATATAATATATGAATATATATAATATATATATATATATATAGAGGGGTATTATTGTAATTATTCCTAAATATATAAGGTAAAATTATATATTTTTTTCGGGTCAGTCCGGTTTTTTTCACCCCGAACCCGACCCGACCCGACCCGAATACCACACTTAAACAAACCCGACCCGACCCGAATATCACACTTAAAAAAACCCGACCGACTCGACCCGAATATCACACTTAAAAAACCCGACCTGACCCGAAAAAAATAAAGTTTCACCCGACCCAACCCGAATATATGAATTAGAAATCCGACCCGACCCGACCCGAAATAATAAAAAATTATTTTTATTCAATAAAAACAGTTACTTAATTGAAAAAAAATATATAGAGGGGTATTATTGTAATTATTCTTAAATATATAAGGTAAAATTATATATATTTTTGGGTCGGGTATTTTTCACCCTAAACCCGAACTCGACCCGACCCGAATATCACACTTAAAAAAACCGACCCGACCCGAAATAATAAAAAAATATTTTTATTCAATATATGAATAAGTTACCAAAAGATTGATGAGGGTAGTATGATCAAATTTCAATTCTCTCCAACAAGGGAATTGAATTCCATCCATTTTTTTTGATGGAATTCACTTTCTCTCATTTGATGGAAAGTTGAAGCCATGAGGGATTCCAATTCCCTTGAAAAACTTAAACCAAACATGGGGAAAGTGGTGTAATTGAATTCCAATTCCCCAATTTCAAAGATTTCATCCAACCAAACGCCACCTTACTGTTAAAAGAGTTGAGCTTAATTATGGGCTGCTTTCACAAGATTCAAGTAGAGTTGGACCTAGTTTTGATACAATAACACTCACTTCTTTTATCACTTATTTTTGTTTACTTTTTCCTCCTTAAATAGTGATGAGTAAAAGTAGCAGTCTTTTTTTTAAATAAATTTTTATATGCGTAAATTTACTTTTATAGATATTATTAAAAAATGTTTTTATATTCTGTAAAATTTAATAAATTTAGCTTCTTAAAATATTATAAGTTTAGCTCAAAGATAAATTTGGAATGACAATTTAACCTGAAAATAATGGGTTCTGATCTGACCCGATTTGGTAGAGTTAGATTTTTTTTTAAAAATCGGGTTTATGTTTGAGTCAAGTAGGGTCCATTTTTTAAGGGAATGAAGTCGGGTCGGGTGGAGGGTAAAAGAACTCAGATTCAGTCATGGGATAATAATGTAATTTCTTTAAATAAATTTATAATTGTTATAATACTCCTCTATTTATTTATTTATTTTAATTAAATTCTTATTTTATGTCGGGTTAGGGAAGGTCGGAGTCAAGTAGAGATATATTCAGTTCAAGTCACATGATGATATAACTTTCTAATCGAATCAAATTTATGTAGAGGATATATATTTTTTGAGTTAAATCGATTGACCAAAACTCCGACCTTTTCCTATTCCTACCTATAATCATGTATCTGTCTTTACTCTTGAAAATCATTGTATGTTTTGAATCAAACAAAACGACGTTACTTCTCCTAGGAAAATTGTAATTCTTTGTACTGAACATTTTGGATAACTCTCAGTTTCATTTTCACAATCCGTTAAAATAACGTTCTTAAATTACTTATCTTTCATCTCTTAAACAGGAAAAAAAGGTACAGAGAAAACCATATTAGAGCATTATATGTACCGTTGGATATGGCAATCAAAATGTCAGACAAAGTTTGACATGCAGTCAATGAGGAGAAAATCAAACAAATTTAAAACAGAAAACTGACCAGTCATGATTCTGTTCTGTCTCAGGAAATGAGAAAATCATGGTCTTCGTGCATTTTTTTATCCGAGCATATTATATACGATCATAGTTCACTCTTGGCGCACTTTGAATTTCAACGGATGGAATATTAGGAAATGATTGGTTATTTCACTATGTAATCATCTTCTTGCTGTTTCCCTTGTTATAATTCATCGCCACATAACTACGTGGTCAAAGACAGTGAAAGGTTTCCCTTATTATGGACAGTCTCTGCAACAGGGATTCATCTATTTGACTCGGTGAAATCATCTGGATACAGCCAAACCCTACCGAGCTGAGTTAATTAACATCAACTAACTATTAGTAAATATATGCTGATAGAGTGGGATCCCAATCATCTGTTGCAACTTCAAAAATCAACAATGGTACCTTACCTTACATTTTGCTTTAGTCAGAGAGGGGAAACTTACATGATTAAGGAGTGGGCTGCAAAGAAAGCAAAAAAAAGAAATCACACAGTACTCCTTTATTTCACGCCATCTGACTTCCACTGACAAAATGGATAACAGAGAGAGAGAGTGTTTGATTAATAATAAGTCATTTTTATCGAAATATCATATTTAGATTCAATAATTAATTGTCCGGCATTTTCTTCTTAAATATTATCGATCCAACACCCTTTTTGACACGGTGACAATAAAGCACATATCGTCATCCGCGCCTTCGCGGGGCTTTGTCCGAGCTGGTGCCACGTAAAGGAAAGGTGTGGATCGTCATCCGTTCCTTCGTGGGGTTCTGACATGTACGGAAAGTGCTGATTGTGCACGTTGAATTATTGGTACTCTGTTATTACCCGAGCTTAAAAACTTAGCTTTTAAACGCTCCTCCCCTATAAATAACAACCCCTCTGGATGCAACATCACCACACCAAAATTACTTACTTATTCTCACTTCTATCAATTCCTTCTATCAAGCTAAGTAAATTTTGTTATTGTTTTTATAAGGTAAAATTATTTTTATTATAGTATATTTATTTTATATTTAATTATTTGAATAAATTTTATTGTACTAATTATTTTATATTATTTTTTGCGATTATAAATTGGAAAGCGATATCATATCTCGAGATATTTTGTCGATACGGTAACAATATGAAATTGTGTTATTTAAATTATTGTGAAATTTTTAATTTGTTTAGATTAGTTTATATTTTAATTCATATACTATTTATTTAATTAGACATATTTCAGCTATTTGTGAAATAAGGTTGAATTCAAGGTTACAGTGTCCTTCATATTTCACTACGTAACCGAATCCAACCTCGGCTAAATACGATCAGACACGAGTATGTATCTCTAAATTAACGTTATGAATGAATGAATCTAATATACGGTATCTTCCTAATTTAATAAATAATATACAAATTAAAATATAAATGAATACTAAAAAATTAAATAAATAAAACATTCACAATAATTAAAATAACAACACAATTTAAAATTATTATCATATCGGTAAAATACCTCGAGATATGATTCGCATCTAAACGTAGCAACCATCCTTCTATTTTATAACTACAAAAAATAATAAAAAATTAGTATAATAAAATTTAATAAAATAATAAATTATTATAATATAATAGAAAATATTTTACCTTATTAATATAAAGATTGATAATAGGAAGAATGAGAGAATTTGATATTTAAGTGTAATATTTATAAGAAGATGGGACGGGAAACAGGTGGTAAATGGGGACAGACAGTTATCTGTGTCAGAACCATGCAAGGCATCTTCCCCTTACGGACATAACCCCATGAAGGTACGGATGATAATATGCGTTTTATTACCATATTGTTAGAAAATATACTAGATCGATAATATTTATAAAGAAGGTACCTGGCATGTAATTATTGGGTACGTTATACTGCAATAAGAAAAGCCTAATAATCCATCATTTTCCTGGGAAAATACCGTTAGTCAACCGAGGGTGTTCATGCCTGAATGCATGCATCCCACACTACCATTCACTCTAGCAACATTCGAGCCAGATGGATCTTTGCACCTTTTTTTTACTTTCTTTTCTATTTTTTGGTAGAGAAAAAGTTTAAGTTAAGGGTTGCTTTTAGTGTAGAGTCCGGTCATACCTAATATTTAATTTATATTTATATAGGAATTTACAGATTATCTATAAAAATACGAGGTAAAATTCGAACTTGGTCTTTAAGTTTAAATTCTTGATTCTCAACTACTTAGGCCAACACTTAGGCCAACACTGTTATAACTCTATTCTTTCTTTCCATCGCCAGCTATCATTTATCATATACTACGGCAAGCTAGATGCTCATTTTTTTTCCTTTTGGTATATCAATTTATCATATACCAAACTAATGAAATGGATTTCTATAAAGAAGCATTTAAGTAGTAAATAACAGTGAGTTAATTAAGTTTGATTAAGATGAAAAAGCCAGTAATTTAATGCTCAGGACAAAGAAGCTGACAAGCAAGAAATAAGCTCAGCTCACATTGGCGTCATCCCGTACTCTGCAGGGCAACCCTAGCTAGCTAGTTATTGTTGAAAGAGAAAGCTTACATACATTGAAAACCCTACCGTTTTAATTGAAAAAAAAAACGAAAATTGAAGAGACTGCAAATCATGATATCCATATATATAAATCTAAACATGACAGTTAATTCATATAATAAATAAGAGTTAGCCAGGCCTAACTAGACCGGGTCCGGTAAACTGTGGTGCAACATGAGAATGCTGAATCGAGAGAATCAGAGCCAAAGTGCACCAGCTTCTTTGAGGAGAGGGACCAGCGTGCCATTGATGTGGCAAGCCATGAGGGTTTCAATGCCACCAAGGAACTTCCCACCAACAAACACGGCAGGGATAGGCTGTCGACCATCGGCCACGAGCTGAAAGAGGACGGCTTGTATGTCAGGACCGGCTCCATGGTGGTCGAGCTCGATGATGGTCGGACCAACACCGAGTCCGAAGAGGAGGCGTTTAGCCACGGTGCACATGCAACACCCGCTCATGCTGAACAAAACTACTGCGTTGGTGGAAGCCAGATGCCTAACCATCATGTATGGGTTGTCGAGCATCATCGTCGTGGCTGGTGCCTCGGTTTCTATCCCTATGTTGCTTGCCATTGGAATCCCAGTTTCGTTCGCCGTCACCTGCATCTTTGGGTTTGATTATAACAACAAAAGATAATACCAGAACAAGAAGAAAAATGTGATGAAGGTTTTAATGAGAAGTGAAGGTACAGAGTTCTAAAAAGGTTGAAGAAACGAAGGGGATGAGAAGTAAATGGCCTTTTGAATGTATATATATTGATTGTAGCATAGAATGTAGAAAACCAAATAATAGCAATTTACTCTGATCACTTTTACACTGTCTGTTTGTGTATATATATAATAACTAAAAAGGATTTTTTTGGGGAAAAAGAATACTTTTTTCTTTTGAACAAAAGATGAAACATTCTACAATACTCCTATTGGTGCAAGAAGGTTAGTGATAATTTCTATAGACCCAAGAAAGCAATACCTAGAGAGAGAATCAAATATATGAGATGGTAAAACCAGAAGCCTGAAATTGAGTAGGTACGACCGGCAAAACCTGTCGGGGGAGGGCTTAGGCACTGCCAACTTTCTTGCCTATCTTCGAAGGTGTGTACGGGCAGCTACCCTAGTCATCCAAACTTTAGTGGCATGCCTTCTTTGACGTGAAGAGGCAATAACCATATATATAAGCGTGAGTCATCTAAGGATTGTTTGATTTTCTTTAAAATTATTTAATGTTAAATGTTAAACGGTTCAATATTTAGTACGTTTATTTCGCACCTCTATTTAAATCATTCAACATTTAAACCATTCAACATTAATCATTTTAAATTAAACAACCAATCCCTAATACTTTAAGTTGAATGTTTTGTCTTTTTCTTTCTAAAAAGTAAATGGGGAAAAGAAAGGACACTTCTAAAATGTTTTCAAAGCAACACCCTTTTTTAGTCAAACAAAGGAGAAGATCAGTATATGGAAATAGCGTGAATTTGGATGAGGGTTGTGGGGTCAGGATAGCAGTGGGACCCCTTATATAAATATATAAACAGTACGAAAATATCCCAACAGAAACAGACTCCTCCACGCCAATTTCAATCTCTCAAGTAATATTCTTTTAAAATAATTTTCTCGTTTTTCTTATTTTTATTCCATTCAATTAAATAAATGTATTAATTTATATTAGTTAAAATAATCTTATGAATTTATATTTTAATAATTTATATAATAATCTCATATCTTTAACAATCTAATAATTTATGTAAAAAAATTATAATCGCTTTCTTCCTCTTTCTCTTCCTCTCTCGTTTTTCTTCTTTAAAATATATGTTAACTTTTTTAATCAATTCAACTTTTTCTTATTTAATTTTATTTAATTGGTGGCATGTTTTGATATTAGTTATCGCCCTTCTTTTATTTTTTTTCTTTATTTTTTTAAATTCTTTTATAATAATAATTATATTTTTGTCACATATATTTTATTTTTATGATATGCATATCTTTATCTTTACAAAACGGATTTTTTTATCTTTTGACTTTTTTCGTGAATTTTAAGTGCTTTTAAATTTAAAACGCGTGTCTTTTAGACACAGTATGGAGTGCGAGATTTTTTGTTCTTCCGGTTATTAGAATGGAGAGGAAAATAGAAAAATAAAAGGTTATTTATTTATTTATTTATTCTCGTTCTCTTTTAAATATTACTTGGACGATGATAAGAAGGGGAGTGCTCTAAACCTTACAAAGATGAAAAGGGAAACCGACAGGCCGACAAGGATCGACTGAAACGCCGTCGTAGGGATGGTAGTACGTCGCTTTCTTTATTGTGCAGTGGCAGCCACAGAAAAAGGGGTTTGTCCTTTGCTTACAGTGACGCCGTCAGATTATGCATTCTCTGTTATTTTAACATCATCATCCCTACGGCTCAGATTCGCTACCCTACCCCTTGGCCTGGCCTTGGAAACCCATTTTTCAATTTGTAACATATAATTCCAGCACTATCAACTTTACCAACAACAAAAACATTGCCATAATAATCATAATTTTATATTTACTTTTAGAAATATAAATATACATTTAATTTAGAAATATGAAAATAATAAAATTAATATGAAAAAATTAATTTAATTTAAAAATATAAAAAATAATAATTTAATTTTAATTTTAAATTTTGTATTAAATACGATTTATAATACATATAACCTATTTAATTGTAACAAATTTATATTTGTTTAACTAGGTGCTCTTATATTTTGTAATTGATCTAGAATCAAATTCCCCATTTGAACGATTTTATTTCTTTATGTTTCTGTCTTTAACAATATTACAAGATAAATATAGTTTGTTGCAATACTTCTAAATGAAGCATTTGGCCAAGTGGTTTAGGTGTTTTCCTTTCAACCACCTATCTTTTGATTTATTTTATCTCCAAATGGGAGATGACATTTGTCACCATTTAATTAGATAAAATAAATTTAATTAAATAAATTAGCATTTATAAAAAATCCAATCTAGAGTTGACATGTGTCATGACAAGTGTAACCTCCTGATTGGATGATTAATTCATTAAATAAAATTAAAATTTGGATCAAATTGATTGAATGTGTAAGTATTGAGGATCAAATATGTAATTATATCAATTTTGAGAATTGTCACGTATGCACTCCCGTTAAATGTTTTATATGGTTATATTGGAACTAATTAAATAGTTAAGTGATTATATTGACTCAATTTTAAAATGGTGGTCATGTTAACACTAACACCATAGTTGGATGGTCATTCATATAGTTTTAAGAAAAAGAATATTACCTCAATAATCATAATAATTTTAATTTAATTATGCCATAATAGTATTTTGTTTGTTTTTATGAATCTATTTGATTGTGATTTTGAGTAGCCATAAATTTCCTTTATAATAATATATGGACAGTCTAATAATAATGTGTAGTTTAAAATTTTTAGCCACTTATCAGATAATCTTTTATATATTACTATTTAATTTGATATTTGAGTACATCGCATTTATATAGTTTAAGGTGTTAATTCATAATTGATTAATTTATAAGAAAATATTAATCTTATAATTTAAAGCAAAGAGAATTTTGATACGTTACATAATATAGAAGATTATCTAACTTTTCAACTTTTACAATTTTTTTTTGCTCGGCAAGAACTTTATTAATAGTGAAAGCCAAAGTTAAGTGTTTCATTAAAAACTTCTTTAACCTTAATTGGAGGAAAAGAGTACAGCTCAACTAGGAAATATGGACCGAAAAAAAAGGAAATATGGAGTTCATTTAGAGCTTGAAGCTACTGGAAAAACCCCTATTTTAGAGGAGAAACAATGGGGTTTTTAGATGTCGTTCCTTTTTACAGCTAGTTTTATGCATATGAAAATGTGGGAACTTTAGCATTGAAGTAGAGTTCCAATGATTCAAATTGATAGTGAGTGAGGCTAAGTTCATTGCTGAACAGCAAAATGTTTATCAATTTGTTCTGGTGGGAAAGAATAAAAAGATGGAGTTGGAGTAATTGATTACATTGCTAAAAATTATCTTGTGTATATTTATTTATGCATTCTCATTTCATTAATAAAGCTTGAAGAACATAGAAACATACACGGAAAGGCCAACAAATATGCTTGCTCTACACATTTTCACAACCAATGATATTGTCACGGTATGCAGGATTGGGCTCGGGACATTGGCACACGAGTCCCTCAAAGAACTTCAATTTAGAGTATCAGACTTGTCAAGATCATCAGACTTGGCCCATCACTTGGAGAATGCTAGAGAACACATTCACGCTACACATGTAAATATGGGAAGTGACATCATATCATAAGATGATCACAAAAGCTTGGTAGATATGGTAAGATGCAACAAATCAAAGAATATTGTGGAAGATTCTTACCATATCAAGTGTGAACACCCATCCAAGGAAAAAAGCAGAGTAATTGTGTAATACCCCAAATCACGGGTTAGTAGTTCGGGTTAACCTGAGACCTGAAGTTAAGTTTAAAAGACCCTATAAGATACTTGGACCAAGTTTAGTGTTGGTGGGCTGTAGTCAGGGCCCAAGAGAGTTTGGAAGGGTGATGAGTATTTGATGAAAATAAAAGTGAGGGACTAAAAATGAGTTTGTCCATAGTTCAAATTAAGAGCTGAAAACCCTTTTATTTTAAGAGTTTCCCACGTGCAAGTCATCCCTCATTTCTCACCAAACACTCTTATTATTCTTCTTATCCATTCTCTACTTTCTTCATCCTCTCCTAAGTGAAATTCTAAGGATTTAAGTCTAGTTTCTTTTCCAAGGTAAGAATATTTCTTTCCATCTTTCAAGCTTGAGTTTAACTACACTTCTCTAGTTTTAGCCATAGTTTTCAAAAATGGGTTTTTATGGGAGTTTATGAAATGGAGGATTCTAGTTTGAGATTAGGAAATGATGAGTTTAAGAGATTTTTTAGACTATTTTTTAGACTCTTGGAATCTCCTAAATAAGCTAGTAACATCATTTCTTTATGCATGAGTGAAAAAGTTGGAGAATGATCCAAGGCAAGAAAAAAGAGAAGCTGCCCTTGGGTGATTTTAGGGAGTTTTCTTCAACCAAGCATTCAAGGTAACACATTTATAACATTTTTCATACAAATTGTAAGTATTAAAATGCATTTCAAGCTAGAAATTTTTAGTTGGGAAGCTTGTATGGTCATTCATGGATTTTAATGTTGGATGTTATTGAACTTGGTTAAGGCCCCTTTTGATCTATTTGATAGTGTATAAAACTATGTTTGGATTTTGGATGTGTTGGAGTGGTTTTGAAGAAGATTTTAATAAGTTAAAAACGTGCAGAAACCGAAATTTCAGCATAGGTTTCAAAACACCTATGATTGGTTTCAAAATTGTAGTCCAGAATGTAAATTTTTTGGAGGTTTCGAAACCATCTGGCAGACTATAAAGATACATGTAAGTTTTTGAGACCTCTGAAACAAGTTTCAAAACCCTTTTCTTGTTTTGGGCCAAATAGGTCTCGAATAGTACACAGATGGTTGTGGACTTATAATATGTTTTTAATTGGGATAATTTCTAATAAAATGATAAGTTAAAATGAAATATTCTTAATTTCAATTAGAAACGAGAAAAATTAGGGCGACATAAAACTAGCCTTGATTGATGTATGGGAAACAAGACGGACACCCGAACCACTCTAGAATAAAAATACATTTGTATACTAAGATATGGCCAACCCTAAGATGTTGCATTAGGCACATCTTTTTCAACTGGGTGTAGATGCCCCAAGGCTCGACGGAGCAAGTTAACGGGTGATGCAATCTGATATAAAATTTCATATTTTCAGCCTAGATAGGATAGAGGGGTTCATGAGCTCCAAGATGTAGCCCCTCAGCCGTACCATGATGTCTACCTTTGTACATATGTTTAGTTAGTATACTCACATGTTAACGATTATGAATTAAGTATGTTTTAAGTATGAACATTAGAGGATGCATATAGTACAGTTCGATTATTAGTGTGGCAATGAGCTTGTGAGCTCAGTATTCGAAATTTATTTACGTGCGCAGGTTAGGAGCAAGAGTCTTTGGCGGAGCCTATACTTAAATCGACTAGCACCAGCCGCTAACTTTTGAGTATATCTCATATTTTGTACTAGTGACATGTAATGTAAATGAAATTGTGTATGTCAGGTCAAAATCTAAATTTGAATATTTTATAAATCTTAATTTCAAATATTTTGAGGGCTCTCGAATATGTAAACATGTTACATGAATTTATAAAAAAAAATTGTATGTCAATTTATGGATTTATACAAATGATCTTGTTGATTTTAAGGAAAAACTTTGGTAAACCTCTTTCATGGTTCGTGTGCCATCATATTTTGTTAGTCTTCAGATCTTACTAGATTATGATGTTACATTAAGTGGTATTAGAGTGTCAGGTTAAGTTGTTTCTAGGACATGTGGGTTAAACTCATTATTAGGGTTTATGTTCATACATACCTCTATAACTTTGAGATATATTTTTAAGTCTGGAATATTCATAGTAACCTTCATTTTCTTACTTATTTTTGAGTATAATTATGGAGGTGACTCATATCATAGTCATGAAGGTAGAGTAGAGAGTCACGCCTCCTTAGTAGGTGACTTAGAGGATGAATTCGTCCCGGATACTAAGATGGAAGTTTCGGTTGACTCAGGGGTCGATGAAGCAACCTTCTTTAAAGATTTAACAGCTACCTTGAGACTTATAGTGCAACTATCCCTAGGACTTCGACTGTGCCACCTCCCCTTCTAGTATCGCCTAAAAAATTACAGGTAGAGCATCTACGTCGATATAATACAACTGAATTCTTCGTCTCGGGAGATAATGATCAGGTTGCCGCGAATAAATGGCTTATGGAGACCCTCTGCACACTCAGACAGTTACACTTGACTCTTGAGGGAAAATTAGAGTGTGCCATCTCCTTGCTTAATGGTGATGCCATTGATTGGTGGGAGATTGTCGAACAAGCTATGGAACCTGAGGTATCGACACCAGAACTTTTTTTATCAGGGTTTAAAGGAAAATACATCAAAGAAGCTCATATAGATAACTTGAGATATCAATTTCTCAATCTGAAGCAAGACGATCACTCGGTCATGGAATATGAAGTAGAGTTTCTTCGGTTGAGTTGCTATGCATCGAAAATGATTTTGATAGAGTATTACCGCTATAGGAGTTTTACGGAAGGCCTCAACTTCAACATCCTCACTCATTTCACTGTCGATCCACCTAAGGTCTTTTCCGAATTGGTACGTCAAGCTAAGGCTGTTGAGAGAGTGGCGGGGATGAGAGCTAGAGCATCTAACATTATTCCGGAGCAGACTGAAATGAAAACAAAGTCTTCGAAACCTTTTCAGATTCTAACAAAAAGGGCCAATGACTTTCAAGGTTCTTGGAGATCCCCAACCGGTTAGTCTAGGGGATGGGGTCAGAGTTCAAATCGTGGGGATGAACTAGGGTTTTGTAGGATACCATGTCGACCACGTTAGTGGCTAGTTTTGGGGGATCAGCGAGAGCACTGTATCTCGACTATCATGTAGAAATCCATGGTTAGTTTTTCCCAGTTGATCTTTTACAATGACTAACATAAAACCATTCTAGTTTTTTAAGGCAAAACTACAATCTCTAATTTTTACATGGTTTGATTTGTGTAAACAATCGATATTGCTCACAAAGAAAGACATAAAAATATATACAATAAAGCTCAATACACTATGTACAAGAGAAAAATGAAAGGATAAATATTAAAGACTATTTTCTTTTTTATCTTTTAGCTTAGATAATGTAGTCATCTTCTTAGAGTGTCATCTTCTTAAAGTGTTCTTGATATGCTTATATTGTGAGGAAAGAGTTTGTAGCCGTTTATAGTCATTGAGATGAATAATAGTCGTTTGGAGACCTTTTCCCGAACATAAAAATGCATTATAGAGTTAAAGTTTTGAGTTTTTTAACATGAGTTTCGAAACTCCACTTTAAAATATTATCGTTAAAGAAAATTGGATTATTAACGATGTTCTAAGGGGTAAAGTTTCGACACTTTATAAAAAGTTCGAAACTCACTATTCATGAACATTACTCATGTATGAATAGTATCATGAATGCCAAAAATTGACTTAATATTGTTTTTTTATATATTTTAATAGCTTCAGACACATTTTAAACACTTTAAACCTATTTTAATTAACTCAAAAATATTTCATATAAATAACATAGTTTAAAAAATATATTTTTATATTATTTTAAAATTTAAATTATTTAATTAAGACTAAAATTAATTTTAAAAATATTTATTATATTAAATATAAGTTCAACACAAGAATACCCCAATTCCGAACTTTATTATCTCGTCAAACTACAGTCCAAACCATTTTAAAATAAAAATTCTTATTTCATTTTTTTAATATTTCACATTTTTATTATTTAAATTCGAACTTAATTTTTTAATTTATTTAATAATGTAAAATTCCTTAAAAATAATAATTCTATTTTTAATTAATATTTTTTTTCATTATTAGTTGATCTTATCTCAGAAAACTCCATAAGATCAATAACCTACTATTACATATAAATACATTATTTTGAAATGTTTTTTCATTTCTTTTAATTTGGCTTCAAGTGAAGTATACAACATCTCTCTTGTCGTTGTCAAATTATTAATATTAGATTGGGACCATTAATTATAGGAAAATGCACAATGTAACATCATCTACCTAATAATCTATTATGTCATACAGAACAATTATCTAAGTGGGTACCACACTTTATAAAATTAAGATAATCTTCAAAATTTGTTACTAAAACAGAAAAACCATAGCATATAATCAATACTCTATTAAAACTAATCAATGCAATGGTTAAAATTTGAGGACTTGAAGTGTGATTTCCAACCCTATTAACTAGTGACTTAATCCATGTTTATGAGGTTGTTTGGGTCACTCCAAGTATGTTTTGTTAGTGAAGGATAGGTAAATTAATGGTTTTTGAAGATATTTTATGATTGGGTTGATCTATAATCTATTCTTAACTAAAGGTCCTTTTGGAGATTTAAGGTCACTTTACATTACAAAAATATGGTTGACCAAATAAACATAATGATGAGTGGTTAAAAGTAGATTAACGAGTTTATTAATGACAATAAAAATGACTAATCAATTATTTTTTATAAAATTTGATGTGGGCAAAAAATATTTTATATAAAATTATAGTATTTATTTTGGAAAAAATATTCAATACTATATAAACGTTATTAAATATGAGTTTGGATTAGAGATATTTATGGATCAGATCAAATTTATGTTATATTAACATACTTTATGATTATTCAAGTTTGATATGAAATATGAACCTCAAATTTTGATGAAATCTGATATATTTATAAATGATTAGCACAACCTCTTTTTTGGTCTATTCATATTATTATTATCATTTTAAAATATTTATTTTTTCATTTTAATTTAGTCTTTTATATTTTTATATAATTTATTTCTTAAAATTAACCAATTTTATTCTATTGTACTTGAATAACTTATTATTTTTATTACAATACTACATATTGTAAATTTCATTTTTATGAGGTATAAAGTATAACATAATACAATATATTTAAACATAACAGATAAGTGGGGTTCAAACCTTGAATGTTTATTTTTTATTGCAAGGTTTTATCTTGACTAATCCAGATCAATCTGTGTCGTATATGATTTTGGTGGATGAATCTTTCAACAGAGATTTTTCACGTACATAAAAACTCGATCGAAGGCATTTACTGTTGTGGTGTTTCTCTGAAGGAATTCGACAATCTCAATCCGAAGAGTTTAAAAAAAATGGAGTCTGAAGGGCAGCTTCCAAACTAGCTTTGCTATTCCATCAGCGACTATATTGTATTTCCGGGGTCCATAAATAAATTCCAATAACCAGTTTCGATTGATTAAATCTACGTACGGTACCATTGATAATAAAGTATCTGCAGAATCCTTACCCCATCCAATAACGTAACATAATTTAATTTCAGTTTTTTAGACCCACTATTTTCCTCACAACCCTCTCGAGTTCTGGGCAAACATTCGGACTTGAGAATAGGGTTGTAAAATCGGGTAATCGTTCAGGTTTCAGTCGGATCCTGGCAGGTCGGATAAAATCGGATATAGGTAAAGTCAGGTAAATTTGACACCAGATCCAGATCGAGTTCAGGTCAGGTCAAATCAATTCGGGTTATTTTCAGGCTGATTTGACACTAGATCCAGATCGGGTTCAGGTCAGGTCATTTTCAGTTCGGATCGTTGCCAGTTCAGGTCCGAAGCAGTTAAAAAGCAGGTTAATTCAGATTCGGATGGACTTCAGGCGGATCTCGTTCAGATCGGGTCACATCATTGGCAGATAAAATTCAGGTCGGATCTCTATCAGATACGGATTGAGTTCAAATCGGGTTATTTTTTATTTTTTGATTAATTATTTTCTTCTTTTGCGAACGTTGAATTGCAACTTGTAATTGTATATGATTTAGAGTAAATTACTAAGAATATAAATAATCATGGTTCAATCTTATGAAAAATACAAATTTAAGAATTAAATTGAACAAATATGAAATTACAAATAAAAATTTAAATAAATTAAACAACACACATTGATGAGGGATCAACTTGAAATGATTTTAAGTTGTGAGGTTGAAATTAATACAAAAAAATAATAAATTATACCCATTTAAAAAGTTATGGGCCAAATAAAAAAATAGAATTAAGTAATAAGTATAGATCAATTTCATATGCAAATAAAATTTGGAGGAATAAATTAAACAAATATGAAATTACAAATAAAAATTTATATAAATTAAACAACACACATTGATTAGGATCAAATCGAAATAATTTTAAATTGTGATGTTGAAATTAATTCAAAAAGTACTAAATTATACCTATTTAAAAAGTTATGGGTCAATTTAAAAATAAAAATAAGTAATAAGTATGGGTCAATTTCAGATGCAAATAAAATTTGGAGGACTAAATTGAACAAATATGAAATTACAAATAAAAATTTAAATATACACACACAAAATCAAATCAAAATAATTTTAAACTTTGAGGTTGAAATTAATACAAAAAAGTACTAAATTATACCCATTTAAAAAGTTACGGGCCAATTTAAAAATATAAATAAGTAATAAGTATGGGTCAATTTCAGGTGCAAATAAAATTTGG